ACACACACACACACACACACACACTAATTCAACTCTGCCAGTTCCACTTTATGGAGCGGGCCACTGACGATCCCTTGTCCGCCCGACAGCGCTCTATCCGTCAGCAGACTCAGCACCAGACGGTTATTAGGCTGGCACAATCTCCACTCTCTGCATACATAGTTAAACAGGCCCCGGTTGCTGGTCCCGGGGTTACCAGTCCTTCCGGCGTCTTTCACAGTTCCACGTCCGGACTAAAGAGCATACCAAGTGATGGCAGAGGTGCATCTCTCGCCGCCTCTACAACGGGGACAGCAGCTCCGTCAGGAGCGGGAACGGCAACGGCAACGGCAACGGGAACGGGAACGGGAATAGGATCAGGAATTGGGGCGACTGGAGCAGCAAGTGGAACGGGAGCGCGAGCAGGTGGTGCAACCGGAACTGGGGGCCAGATTTCACACTCCTTCTCGCTCAACTTCCCCAGCTCGAATACATCAAGTTCTGCCGCTTTGGCGGGTGGTGGGTATCTCTTCAGTGAGGAGATGTCTTTGAACCAAGAAATTCCCGAGGCCGGTTCAAGCACAGGCTTTGCCGGTTTGTCTCGGCGCGTCACTATTTCAGGCCTGAAGCCGGGCGCGCCGGTGCCAAGTCAAACTGAGACGATCGGCCTCAGTAGTCTTGGCAACGTTGGCCAAACTGGCTCCGGTAGCGGAGGCAGTGAAAGTCCGGCCAAAATGTCACGGACAGCCATTCTTCTCTCGCCGAACTCTCCTCGTCGTCCACTCTATCGCCACAAGCAGCAGCAGCATCAGCAACAACAACAACAGCACCAACATCACCAGCTGCTTCAGCACGCGATAGGCGTACAGCATTTCGGTCGACAACTACCGCAACGCAACCACACAGCCCCCAACGACTCAGCCCTCGGATTCGGTTTCCAGCCCAGCCGACTTGGCTTGGAGGGCAGGCCTGCCAGCGCCTCCACAGAGGAAGTGGCCGGTCGGACGGCAACTACTGGTCTCTTCCCGAGCATGCCGAGCCGAGGGACAGCCTTGGACGCCGAACTGTCCGCCCTGGAACTGATTGCACTCGGGCGGGCAGGCGGAGAAGCAGAGCCGAGACGGAGGGCAACTGGTGAAGGTGAAGGGATGGGCATATCTGGAGTTCTCTGTGTGGGCGCAGCAACAGCACCAACCTCACCTCAGTTGGGTCCTGAACGTCGCTGGCCTCTGGGTCAGCTCAGTCCACGAGATGGCGAGACCGTTGACGCTGAGTCCAGGGCTGAGGAGGCGGACTTATCGGGCGGATTTGGTTGCGACACCAGCCGAGGCCACGAAGATGAACTATTGCTCAACGCCGACCTTGAGATGGAGCAAGAGACAGAGACAGAAGCAACAGGCGCATCTGCCAGTGCATCACCTGTTAAGCTGTTACGCCATGGTCTTCGTCGAATGTCGGCGATGATACCGGGACAAACTGTTCCCCCGACAGGAGCAGAAGAACAGGGTCTGGAAGCTAGAGCCACCTCGTTCAAGTCGGTCAGCGGTAAGGCGAATGCATGCTCGACCACTGAGAAGCTGTCATGGGGTAGTGATTACTAGCAAACTTATCTACAAAACCTCTAACAGAGAAACACCTTGGAGAGGACAAACATTTTAGTTTTGTTTATCAATAGATTTTCTAGACTACTATTAGATCACATATATCAGGTGTATTCACCCAATTTTATTTAAGGCAATGTGTATATTGGTAGTTGAGTCTTTTCACAAGCTGATGGGTAGATCTCACGTTTTTATTGGATTTCACATGGCTCTGTTTTCTCAAAAGGTATTCTCATTCGGGCTGAAGTGGACGGCAGTTTCGACCTCGCGTTGGTCTCATCAGTACCCCCAATGGAAACGTAAGGTCTCCCTCACTGATTGTGTGAAAACTCAACTAACAGTCCCCTTATCATCTTAAACGAAATAATGTGAATACACTTCATACATCTAAGTCTGGGCTTTTTTTAATTTTCATCTGATGACCCCGAGTCAAGCCTACCCAAATTTCTGTAGAGATGAAATAGATGTATTCACCCTATTTCGTGTAAGGTGATGAAGGACTGGTAGAAGAAGAATTTTTCCACAATGATAT